ACATGCTTGTTCGTAGCATTAGTTTTTGACTCATGACAGAAATACACAACTAATAAAGGGGAGTATTTTTTGAGCTGAGCTCCTGCTCTTCTTCGCTCACAGTTGATTCTAAATTATACATCAAATATCATATGTTCTGTGAGGTCTGTTGGATAGAATTAACTTAAGACCCATTGAATCATTTCCATTAGAAGAGACATTCAAAGATCATACAGACTAACCTCTGTGTTGCGTTATAGAATAGATTATAGAATTATAGAAGAGTATAGAAACTTGGCAGAAAATGAACACCCTTGCATTCCAGCTGGTACTCTGAGGTCAGAGGGGCTGGGTGCAGCTGGCCTTCATTTCTGATTCCTGCAAATTCAGCACTGTAAGCCTGGTAGTGCCAAATAAGAAGCCTGAGCACAGATTCACAAATAGTGCAGTTTACCAGTTTCAGATCTATAGATCTGGTTGCATTCAATAAGAACTTCTGTAATCACAGACTAGAGAACAGTGAACTTTATTGAAGCAACAGAACTACAAATTCAGAACTGCCAGTGCTAAATGCACTATGATAGAGCTCCAACAAGAACTCTAATGTTGTGTTAACCCATTTATTATTATTATTATTATTATTATTATTATTATTATTATTATTATTATTATTATTATTATTATTATTATTACTACTATCATTATTATGTGAAGAATCTTACCAAGGAGGCCTGCCCAGCTAGGAGGAGGGAGAGGAGAGTAGCCTATTGACTGTCTCTAAGGTCTTTTTGTCTTCCTCCCAAACAGGTTAAATTTCTGTCTTCTTTATATACAGCATAATCTTATCCCACTCTCCCTCTTAAAAGTGGCATGATCTAGGTGGAAAATTGAGTAATATAGTTGTATATGTTGTAGCACAGACTTCTTTAAAATTATTAGCACATATGGTAGTGTGCAATTTAATATATAATTAACTTCATCAGGCAAAAGTTATTTTTTTGGCCATGTGTCCTTCAAAGTTCAGATCATGACCTTGTTCCATTTGTGCTGTTCTTCCAAGCCAAAGTGTGACCATCCTGTCTTCACAGGACCTCCCCCTTCAACCCAGTCATTCTCTCTTGACATCAACATTGCATCTCCCCATGTGCACAGATAACACAGGAGGTGCAGTGCAGGCCATAGACAGTGAGCTACAGCCCTTTAGGTAGAGACTTCTTTTACTAGATCAAGTTTCAATGTTTAATGTAAGCCATAATCCTATTATTAATTTTTTTTACATTTCAATTTTTCCACAGCTGCTGGTAGCCCAATCCTGAAATCATTGAAAAAAGAATCCTGCAGTCACTGAGGCTTTTACTGATGTCTCAGCAGTTCATTCAGGAATGATGAACAAAATTCAGATGGGAATGGAAATGCAAAGAGCTCAACAAAACACTATGTGAAAAATGAAAGTCAGAATGCAGCTCCAAGTCTATAAATAATTGTCCAAAATTGAGCATGGAGAGTGAATGGGGATCCCAGGAGTCACACTGATGACTTAATTATGCTTTGGCAATTTATGTTATGTAGAGAGGAGAGATCTCAAATTCCCACAGAAAAAAAGTATCTGATAACCCTGTGTCCAGTAATACACTGGGTGCATTGTGATCTAGATAGTAAAAATGAAACTTGTGGAAGGAAAACTCTGCTGTGGAATCTTACTATGTCAAAGGTGTCTAGTTGAAAAGTGGTTCTGTACCCAAATTCAAGTTGGTTCAAATCTGTACTGACATGCAAGCAGCAGAGAACAGATCTGGTATTAATGCTATTTATCTTTCACTCTTCCAGACTCTACACTGGCTGTCCCCACCTTCCTGCCCATATATTGTAGGTGTTTCACCACTGAGCTCCTTCCTTTTGAGAACCTCCAAACAAATTTAGCTTTGAAATGTACATAACTTACATTTTCCAATTTATTTAGCCCAGGATAATAGGAAAGATTTTTTTTCCCCGCTTTATCCCGCTGTCATGGTTTAATCCCAGCCAGCAACTAAGCACCATGCAGCTGCTCCCTCACTCATTCCCAGAGATGGGGGAGAAAATCAGAAAAGTGAGAAACTTTGTGGCTTTAGATAATGACAGTTTAATTGGTGAAGCAAAAGCCAGGGAAATAAAGGAAAACAAGGAATTGATTCATCACTTTCCATCGGCAGGCAGGTGTTCAGCTACCTCCAGGAGACCAGGGCTCTATCATGAGTAATGGTGACTTAGGAAGACAAAAGCAATCACCAGAGTACTCCTCTCCCTTCTTCTTCCCCTCAATTTTATCTGCTGTGCATGAAACTTTATGATTTGGAATATCCCTTTGGTCCATTGGGATCTGCTGTCCTGGCTGCATCCCCTCCCAGCTCTTTGTGCACTCCTGGACTCCTCATGGGTGAGGGGGTGTGAGAAGCAGAAAGGCCTTGGATCTGTGTAAACACTGCTCAGCAATAACTAAAACTGTCTTATCAACACTGTTTCCAGCACAAATTTTAAACATCTGTGCCTGAATTAACGTAACTTTCTTTATATGGAAGTCTAGCTTCTAATTTTTTTCTATCAAACACAGATTTCTTAATAAACTAGTGGAAGTTTCAAATGCAATAAAAGTCCACCTTTGATGTTTTTAAGAATTTAAGGGAGACCTTTTAAATTGTTTTTAAAAGACATGATGAGGCCATGCAGAATAAACTCTTCCACCTGACAACAACTACCATAAAAGATACACAAGTAACATGGGAATAACATAACCCACTAAGAGAGAAAGAAAATATAAAGAAACATACGTTTGAAATTAACCTGGTTTTGTGGTAATTTGACAGGCAATTAGTCTTTGTGGTGACTACTGCTGATGAAAAATTCTGTAAACCCATCATGAAAAAAAGTGTTCATCAGAGAAAGTGATTTGTTATTCTCAGGGGAGTAACTTAAACAGAATTCTTGACCGGTTCCTATGTCTGTTCTGCTATATGTGGACCTTTATCTAACTCAGTGCCTCATTTGCCATTATTGGAATACCATAGACTTTTGATATTGACATATACTAAGTATGTACATCGGTGAAATATAAAGCTATGGAAGAGAAAACAAATGAAAGCAGGTCTTGCTTGCAATAAATTGCAATGTTGAACTTTTTGTTGTTGTTGGGTTTTTTTTGTTGTTGTTTTGAATTTTTTTGTTTGTTTGTTTTTACCTTACTTCAAATTTTGGGGCAGCTTAGCATTTAATAGTAAAATATATCCTTCTGTTTTTTGTCAAAGTATGGCCAGACGCTAAGCACCAGCACATAGCACACCTTAGAAAATACTGAGCAGAGCTCATATATTTTCTTTCTTTTACCTGTATCATGAGGTATCTTAACATGTTTGACTAAATAAATCAATCACCATTTGTCAAAAAAATATGTCATAGAAGAGTGAGATGTTTTCCCTCTTCACCGCAATCATGAATCACACAGTTGAACCTCAGTCCAGTAGGTTAGCAAGAAATTTAAGCCATGATAGCAAAATAATATCCCGAGATTTTCTGAGGCTATTAAATTTTCTTGTCCAGAATAGGAATCTGCTTCTTAGCTAGAGAAGCCTGCTGAAGGTGATGTGGGGTCCTGAGGGGCACGCAGTGATCAGACACCATGTCAGTGACTTGGTAATTCAACATGAGCCTTTTCTGAGGGAGAATCAGTCTGGAGTTGTGCCCTGCTCTCTCATAGCTGAGATGAGATGGCATCGATAGGGCTAGCAGTGTGCAAGCTGAGGAGAAAGCTGGATGAGAAACGATGAATTAGGGTTACTGACTGATATGTCAGTGGTGCAGTTGACATAAATATGGCATTACACTTATGCCTGCAGTATCAGTTTTCCCAGACCACTCTTGCTCTTTGCCACTGCAGTCCCTTTTTCCAGTGGGTATCTACGCTATGCTGATGAACTCAGCTTTACAAGTTTAACAGGAATTTTTGGTTTGATGTGTTTCTTCAATGGACAGTATAACCATTGGAGCTTATATATACAGTGCCTTCAGCCTCCCTGCACAAATACACACTTTCCTGTTGTGTGGAACAATTTCTGAAAACATTGAAGTTCTCTCTTAAGTGAAAAATCAACTTTGCTCCAGCTTTGTTCTCATTACAAAGTAAATCCCTACCCATATATGATCGTCTCATACTGACAATAAGCCACTTCCTCAGAGTAAAAAGAAGTGTGCACTTCGTCATTTAAACCGAGACGGGAGAATTGCCAGTGACCAGAGCTATAGGTTGATACGTGTGCAGAAAATACAAAGTTTTTAAGGTTCGAAGTCCGCAAAAATGAACACCCGGCAAAGAACTGAGCGCGGCAGCTCCAATGAGCGAGAGTCTGAGCACCGAAGCGGAGGAATGCGAAGCACCAAGGCGGGTTGAAACCTTGAACTTCTCAGACCCCGTCGGCCCTACCGTTCCCAAAGCGGGCACTAAACTGGACTGGGAGTGAAAAAGCCCAAGTGGTGGGAGAGGCGATACAAACCTACCAGGGAGTCCGCAAGCCTCTTCCGCCAAGTGAATGTGAAGGAAAAGGTGGAGCGCTTTTTTAACCCGAAAATTGCTGCGTACTAGAAAAGCCGAAGAGCGACTGCCAATCTTTCCGGAGCGCGGGCTTTTCGAAATCTGCCGGGCCCTAGGGGCGGTCCGAGGCGCTTCCCCGCGCAGCTCTCCGCCTCCCGGCTGATGGGAGATTAACTACGAGGAGCTGCAGCATCCCCACCCCCATGCCCCCTCCTAAGGCCTGAGCGGTGCCTCACTACCCCGAGGAGTTCTGGTTCGCACCGACTTCCCGCGGTGAACCGGAAGGTATTTGCACCCATGCATGGAGATTTTATTTTTAAATGAGATGTGCCGCGGTGAACTCCACTGCGGTGCTGCTCTGCATCGGCGAAAACAAGAGCGCAAAAATGTTACCAGGTCCACCTAAAAGAGACAGCAATAAAAAAAAGTTTAAATTGCACGCGCGTTACACAGAAACTTATTAAGAGAATTCTAGCTCTTTTTGTGAAAATTTGGGTGGCTCTTAAAAGAGCCTTTGGGTTTTATCTGCAAGGCAGATAGGGTTTCTTCCGCAAAATTTATTTTTTCTTGGGAGCTGCTTTCTTGGCCTTGGCTGCTTTCGGCTTGGCCGCCTTGGGCTTGGCTGCTTTGGGCTTCACCGCCTTCGCCTTAGCCGGGCTCTTTGCTGCTGCCGCGGCTTTTTTGGGCTTGGCAGCCTTTGTCGCTTTCTTGGGGCTCTTTGCTGTTTTCTTGGCTGCTGCGGCTGCCGGCTTCTTCGCCTTCTTGGGGCTCTTTTTCGCCGTCACCGGCTTCTTGGCCTTCTTAGCGGCACTGGCCGGCTTCTTAGCCGCCGGCTTCTTGGGCTTAGCTGCAGCAGTTTTTTTCTTGGGAACTTTTTCCTTGACTTCTCCGGGTTTCTTGCTGAGGCGGAAAGAGCCGGAGGCGCCGGTGCCCTTGGTCTGCACCAAGATGCCCTTGCTGACGAGGCTCTTGATGCCCAGCTTGATGCGGCTATTGCTTTTCTCTACATCGTAGCCGCCGGCGGCCAGCGCCTTCTTGAGCGCGGCGAGGGAGAGCCCCTTGCGCTCCTTGGAGGCGGACACGGCCTTGGTGATGAGCTCGGTGACGCTGGGCCCCGCGGGCTTGCGGGCTTTGGAGCCGCTCGCCGCCTTCTTCGGCTTCTTGGCGGCGGGTGCTTTGGCCGGGGCCGGAGCGGCGGCGGCGACATCGGGCGCGGCGACGGGAGCGGTCTCGGCCATGTCGGCTCCTGCACGATCCGGGCGAACAATGGAAGCGCGGCCGCCGCCGCCCCTTTTATAGCAACGCCGCGCGCGCTGATTGGCGCGCGCCGCTCCGCTCCGCCGCCCGCCGCCGCGCCCGTTGTGTTTCTTCACGGTGCAAAAAGGAGTTTTTCTCCACGAAATTTGCCGCCCATGCACCCCGTTTCTTCCCGGGAGGGAAGGGGGGAGTCTGTTCTACAAGCGAGTAGAGTTTCCCGTTAGAAAGGGCAAAGATGAGGGAAACACGGCCACCGAAACTCAGCGGCGGGCAGCTGCAGAGACCTCGGCAGACAGAAATCTTCGGTTTATATTTTAAATTAAAATTTTACCGTGAGCTAAATGGGTACAACCGGCATGAAATTTTGTTCTTTAGAAGGTTCTCTATAGAACAGGTAAAAAACAGAGTGGTTTGAAGGGTTGGTCTCCGAGAAAATCGATATTAAATCCGAGGAAGTAACACAGTTTCGCCCCATGGTCCCGGACGTTGATGCAGAGCTGACTCCCTCGGCTGAGCCGCTTCCCTCCGAAATCACCTCGCTCAGTCTCTCCAGCAGCCACCGTGTCTCAGACCCTGCCTTTTGGAGAGATGTTTGTGCTTTAGCAGCGTGTGTGAAAATCGTTCTTACTTTCCTTATGCTTCGGCGTTTAAGTGGAGCAAAGCAGCGACGTGCCCCCTCTGAAGACTGATATTCCTGTCATTGCATTTTCAATATAATCTTAACGAAGTAGCTTTCGTTTATTAAATTCCAAAACCAGGATAACTGCAATTACAGTATATCCGCTTTTAGTCTTAATCCGTACGGTAATTATTACTCCTTGCCTCTTAATTATTTAAAACTGATTGGGAAGCAGAATCTGGAGTGCACTGAATTTTGAAATGTACAGGGAGTTAAACCTGAAAATTCGTCTTTTGAGAGTATGTTGAGTAGCCAGGACACTTAAAGCAAAACTGATATCTCGGTTTTAATGAATTAATTTTGAGTGTGGATTTATTTTTGATAGCACCATCTGGTGATTCACCACTTCCCTACTTTCAGAAGAGCAAAACCTACATCTTATCAAGAGAATTCCCGGCCCGGGAAATGGCAGCTTGATATTAGAAACAATGGATGGGTTCTCTCTTTTCTCTTTTTCTTCTTTTTCAATGCAATGTTGCTTTCTTTCAAATACCAAGCACTTAACAGTCTGCCTGCAATAGTATTGTGTTCCCTACCCTCCATATCCGGGCTATCACCAGCTCCTAAAAAGTTTGAGCAGTTATATTCAGAGCTAAAAGCAGGTGTGAAAGGGTGAATGAAATGTCGGTAGCACGTAGAGTCCCCACTGTTTGAGAGTGTAAAAATAAAGAAATACAGTGACTTGGGTAATTTGAGAAATGTCATGTTCTTTTCTTATTACCCGTGTTTAATTGAAAAATCTAAACTGCTAAAATCAGAGGAAGTACTGAATCTATCCCTGAGATTTTAAATATTTTTTTTTTTAATCTCTGCTTGAAGATAGACGTTGAAAAAGCACAGCTTAGTGAGGTCTTCCTTAATAAATCGATAAACAAAAGGTAAATGCGCGTTTTGGATAACCTGGCTGCAATAACGAGTAAAACAAAACTACAGCGTGACCCTGCAGTATGCTGTATTGTTTCTTGATTAAATACAGAAATAGGAAAATACATTTAATGCCCATTTAATCTGATACTTATTTCATCTACTAGGGGAGGCTGAAGGCCTTCTGTAACACTACTGAGCACCATGAGAATGCTGAAAATTTGATTTTTTCTAAACTAGTAGTGCTAACCCCATAGCCAAGAAGAGAGTTCAAAACCTCGCAGGGGCACTAGTGCTAAAATTTATAGTTCTCTAGTCCCTTGATATTAGCATATAAGTGGTTTGTTTGTGTCACAATAGTCACGTTTAGTGGCAGCTTTCTGTCAGTTTTCTGGGCTTGTACAAGAAATGTTGTCATCTTTATCAATCCTTGAATGACTCGGTAATCTTTTTATTTCTTCTTACTTCTTTGTGGGAGAAAGGAGTTCTGAGATTCCTAAAATATAAACAGAACATTAGTATTTTTTTCTTTATTTTCACTATTATGTTTGTATATTGATTTACTGAGAAACCAGAAAGTGTTTAGAGATGTGATTCTACTCTCCCTAACCCATCTTTCCTTCATGTAAATTATCACTGAGCTTTAAAGATAATCTCTACCTACTGTGAGAGACCAAGAAATGTCAGGTTGGTGGGTAGTACCGGGCAGTGGATGCTGACAGGAAATGAACCATTATGAACTCCTATTCAGTGGACACCAAAACAAATGTGGGCATTAACCTAAGGACAGGAAGGGCAGACCTGAATGTTGATGCAAGTCCGAGATAATTTGCCTGACTTTTTTTTTAATAGCTCTGTTTTGCTTTTGAATATTCAAGCATAACATCCTAGAATCACCCAAGTATTTGTATTGTAATCCAGCAAGTAATTCTAAGTGTCTCAGCTGCTGTAGACTAAAATTTATTTTTTCAGCCACTATTAAAAAAAAACAAAAAACAAAACAAACAAACAAAAAACAACAAAAACCCAAAAAAACCAAAACCAAAACAAAACAAAACAAAAAACAAAACAAAACAAAACAAAAAAACCCGAAAAACCAAAAAAACCCAAACAAACAAACAAAAAAAAAAAAAAAAACCAAAAAAGAGAACATGTGCTTAACGAAGCAAGTTGGTGCATTTTGCATTTGCATATGTGCAGCAGGAAAGCTTCTCAAGGCTTTGACATTCCATAATTTCTTAATGTAGAAGTTGTGTTTGGGTATCTTTACTCCATTCGTCTTCCCCATATTTTTAAAATAAGCAAATGTCAGTAGAAACACTGAAATATTTTAGTCAAATATTGTTGTTTTTCTTCCAGGGAATAAACACATTTATGAATTAGCACAGGCCTATACAAAGATTCTAACCAGAATATTTTTAGAAGGTTAATAGAGAGGGAAAAAAAAAAACCAACAACAACAAAAAAAGTCATTGTCAAGTGGGTTCATATTCTGCATCAAAATCCCACACACGATGTAAATTAATTCAACTTTATGCAGATTGCTGACAGAAATTGGACATCTACCCTTGCTCCTGTTCCAAAGATGAATAGATAGGTAGTAAAAATTTATTGTTTTTCTGTGTTATAATGCCAAATTTCAAAGCTAATGCCTAGCACACGTGTTCTAATGTAAAATAAAGAATGAATCCCTGCTCCTTCTGCTTAAAAGAGTGATAGGCCACCATTATTTTCCCCTGTGCCTACTGGCGTTTATTTTCCTGAACGACTAGTATAGTCAAAATGTCCTATACAAAATGTTGATTTTTTGGTATTTTCATATACCCCATGCCTAAATGAATAGCACCCAAATTCTTCACCAAGTATTGTGGCTTCCACAATGGTGAGGGTCTTGGCTTGGTTCTACAGCATATTTATTTTATATATCTAATTCTTTACGGGTATAGGCCAAGGCTCATATTGAGATATGCACTTCAGAATGTTAAAAAAGTCTGTATTCCACGTTTGAAAGACATATAAATTTTATTTCTTTTTTCCTCATGCAATAGAACATGCCTCATTTTCAGGAGATGAAACTATTTTTAAATCACAGAAATTCAAATTCACACCATTCAAATACATACAGAAACTATATCACTGCCTTTCAACCTTTATCCATTAATATCTTTGAGAGAGCAGAAATCCTCTTGCTCAGCATGCAGAAACACAAATCGACTGCAAGTTTTTTTTCCTCTTAAGTGGAACACAACGAGTTTCTGACGCAGCATTAGACCTAAATCTGCTGCTGGATCTGGCAAAAAGATGTGAATTATGAGAAGGGATATTTTATGCATATAGAAAGGAGCGTGGACTAGAAAGAGCCACTTTCCAGGTCAGATTCCGAAAGCTGATTGAAGAACGCTGTGACCTACAGTGATATTCTAAGAACCACGTTGGAGTTCTTCCCAGAATTGTCAGGGTAGAAGGTGAATGAGGCATTCTTGTCTACAGGAAATGAAGAGGTATTGCCCTTTGGAAACTCCAGATATGGCATAAGCAAATAAAGTTTTCATACAGTGTAGTGAGGGAAGTCAATGATGTTGGCAAATTTCTAACCTATATGGATTTATTTTATTCTCCGTGGTAAAATCAGTTCATGGTGTTTCCCAGCTCCATTGATACCAGTTAACAGAATTCCTATTACTTTGTAACAGGTCAGATTCTGGGGCTTTCCTTAGACCACACTCCAGGTCTTTCTGCATTGAATGGAATGTCTGCCTGCCTGTTTGAAGACTTGTTAAATTCATGTTGTAGTTTAAACAAAAAACATCTTGCATTGTAACATTAAAACATACAGGACTTTTTTTCCGTTTTCAGTTTCTATTAAACTAACTTAAAATATCAATTGTTTCTTGTACAAAAAGAGACTGACATATCTCCTTTGTTTTTGATGTTCCTCTTGTCTTAATACTGCTTCAATGAAGTCTCTTTATTGAGCATTACCAAAGAGGAAGATTTCTTTTTTACCTAGTGGTGTAAATTGCAGACGAATGAAGCAAAACTTCCAAGAGAACTTTCATCCAGCCTTCAGCTCTTGGAATTTTGAGTAAACAAACAAAATTCAAGGAAAACTTTGCCCCTGCTGCTTTTCAGTTTTGTGAACATTTTAGCCCTTGCGCATTAAAAGGAGACTATAAGGTGAATTCTTCAGCACGCTTTGAAGTAGATAAAAACGGGGAAGATAACTAGACTGCTCACAAGTGAAGGAAAATATAATTCAAAAAAAGTGCTAAATAAAAATACAGTGTGCTTGAAACTTTGTTTTCTAAGGCTCTACATATCTGTAAATGTGTAGGGGCATATAAAGCCCAAAGCAGCCATTTCACAGTGATTTCTGCTTCTTCCTGTTGCTGGGAGTCATTTTGGGATTCAGTTTTACACCTGACATGCTCACATTTCACATAT